ACCATTCTCTCTCCTGGTGCCCCAGCCTGCTGGCCCACCCTGAGGGCTCCGTCTTGCCAGTCTCCATAATCACAGCAGCCAATTCCATGTCAAAAAATCTCTATCTACATGCGCATCCTGTCGGTTCTGTTTCTCAGGAGAACCTGAATATTAGCAACACTCATAACACAATAGATATACTAATCTACACTCCTACGGGCAATGGATAAGTGTTCCGATCAGTAGAATACTACCTGTTCACCTGACCTTACACTCCTCCCCTCCTAGAAGCTACAACTAACTTAATCTTGCAGGTGGTGAAAAAAAAAAGAACTGGTTTATTATGTGTCTCCCTGTGAAAAAGGTTCAGTAGCTTCCCATGGTCTACATTACAGAATGAAGTTCAGACTCCATTAGGCACAGCAAGACCTGGGCTGACCAAACTTCCTGGGCTCTGCCTGACATTCTGCTGCTCCGGGGGCTTCAAGTCTCTTTTTCAACTTAGAACCTATGGGACAAAACCTTACTTGGGACCCCAGCGCATCACGCGCTGAGCCCCTTTGCTGGTGCGGGCATCCCTGTTTCTTCCTCTAGCAGTGAGGGGTGGCCAGCCCAGGGCGGGAGCCACCTCCCGCGGGGGCTCTGTACTTGGTCAAACAGGTGCCTGCCTTCTTCCTACCTGGGTGTTCAACTCCCCTGGCGCCATCTCCGTGCTGTCAGTACTCCTAAGATACCCCCCTCTCCATTTTTCCTCCTTCCCTCACCCGTCTCTCTCTCTTACAAAAAATCCTTCCAAGTCGTCAGGGCCCGGCACTTGATTCTTGAGCCTCCTCATCACCCTGCTGGACTCCAGCTCCTTTTCATCTCATTCCTGGCACCTCACAGACATCAGCTGCTTCCACCTAATGCTCAGCAACCTCGAGGTGGTGAGTGACCCGGAGCCACACTTTCTCCGGCTGCATGACGGGAACACACGACCTCTGCCATGGTGTCTCATGAGCATTAAAGCAGAGGGCATTTGCTTTCTACCCAGGAGGCACCCAATGCAAGTTAGGTGGTGGAGTACTGGGGGAGGACCACCCTTTCGGGGGGGGGGGCATTTCCATAAATGTAACTACATTCTCTTGAATGGACCAGCAAGGCCAGAGACACACGGCGTGCAGCGATTTTCTGCTTGATCCCACCTCCACCACCAACTCTGCTATGAAAGGGATGCCTTCGAAACGTTACCTTCCCAGCTGCCTCAGCATCTTTTCCCTTGAAGCAGTAAAATAAATACAGCCATTCTTACCATTAAATTCTCTAAGTCGGTTACCAGTTGGGAAATGCTGGTTGTGAAGTTAACACACATTTTAACACAAATTGGCATTAACAGTACCATTTATCCAGATAAGATGTCCAATTTGCTCTTCAGCTCTGGGCTGAAAGCCCCAGGTTGGGGCTGGGGCAGCAAGGATGTACCATGGTTGATGTCTCCTCATTGGAGGGCCCAGAGGGCTCCATGACCCCCCAAACCATCATCTTCTGTCCTCTCACTACAACTTTATCCAGTGGGACACTACAAAGTCTGAGAAGTTGGGCAGATATTAGACCTCACCACCTTTCAAGTCCTCGCCTGTAAAATCAAGGTTATGTCCACATCCAAGTGTGCAGTGGGGTTAAATGAGAAGATATCGGCCAAATTCCTCACAGACAGCAAGCGATCAGCAAAGAGAAGAAATTAGTATATACACAAAGCATGTGGTTCGGGGCGCCTGGGTGGCTCAGTTGGTTGGTTAAGCATCTGACTTCCGCTCAGGTCATGATATCAAAGCTTGTGAGTTCGAGCCCCGCGTTGGGCTCTGTGCTGACAGCTCAGAGCCTGGAGCCTGCTTCCAGTTCTGTGTCTCCCTCTCTCTCTGCCCCTCCCCTGCTGCACTCTGTCTGTCTCTCTCAAAAATAGACAAACATTAAAAAAAAATTTTTTTTTAAAGAAAGCATGTGGTTCAATTCCTTTATCCTTTTGAAGTTCTTACAACCTATTATACAAATTGGGATTTCTGGATTCCAAGTCCAACCTTGTATTGTTAGGTAGATCATCAACTCTCTCTTTATATTACACATGCGTGCAATACTTGTAGGTCCTGATATGATGTTAATAAAACACACACGGAAGACTTTAAGTACATATAAGGTTAACTTTGAAATACGGCTACTATATTTTTTAAATTCACTATCATTTTTAGTTTAAAAAAAATGAAGGGGGGCACCTGGGTGGCGCAGTCGGTTAAGCGTCCGACTTCAGCCAGTCATTTATCTCACCGTGGAGTTCGAAAGCTCCTCGCTATTTGCTTCATGGCTCAGAGCCTGAGCCTGTTTCCGATCTCTGTGTCTCCCTCTCCCTCCCTCCGCCTTACATGCTCTGTCTTTGTCCAAAAAATAATAAATATTGAAAAAAAAAAATAAAAAAAAAAAAAAAATGAAGGGACGCCTGGGTGGCTCAGTCGGTTAAGGGCTCCGACTCTTGATTTCAGCTTAGGTCGATCGATGAGTTAAGCCCCGTGAATTGCTCCATGCTGATGTGCTGATTCTCTCTCTCTGCCCTTCCCCTGCTTGTGCTTCTCTCTCTCTCTCTCTCTCTCTCTATCCCTCATTCTCTCTCATTCCCTCTCTCCCTCCCTCCCTCTCTCTCTCAAAAATAAATAAACATTAAAAAAAAAAAAAAAAAGGAAACCATCATGAAGAATTCAACCAGGTGGATAGGTGGGCACTCCTTTCTTTCACCAGTGATTGACTGAGAATCCTAGCATTATGTTTGAAAAAGCCCGAGAAGGCAAAGACCTGTCTTTTCCTAACCTCGCAAAAATAACAGGAGCGATCTGGATGATAAAAGTGGGAAAGTATTGCCAAAACTGTTCACACATGACGGACACTAAAAACCCTATCTTGGTCTGGCAATCACAACTTAGTTCTCCACATCTGAGCTCTAGCCTCTGTCCTCAACTTTCAGAAGAGGCCAAACTGGCTGTTGGTGTTTTTCTTTTCAAATTACTATTCTGTATATTTAAGGCACGCGACACAGTGATTGGATGAACATCTATGAACAGCATGCAACGACTGCTATAATCAAAGTAATTTACGTATCTTCTCACACAGTTACCATTTTCTGTGGTGAGAGCACCTGAAATCTACTGTCTTAGGAAATGTCCAGTATTCAGTCCAATATTATTAACTGCCATCTTCATGGGCACCTTAGGTCTCTAGGTGGAGTTGTCCTACGTACCTGCAACTTTGTATCCTCTGACAACTGCTCCGTATTTCCCCACCTCCCCGTGCTTGGTGACCATTGTTCTACCTTTTTCTTCTTTAATGTTTATTTACTTTTGAGAGCGAGAGAGAGAGAGAGAGAGAGAGAGAGAGAGCAGGGGAGGGGCAGAGAGAGAGAGGGAGAGACAGAGGATCCGAAGCAGGCTCTGTGCTGACAGCAGTGAGCCCAATGTGGGGCTCGAACTCACAAACCCTGAGATCACGACCTGAGCCGAAGTCAGACACTTAACCGACTGAGCCACCCGGGCGCCTCTAGTCTACCTGTTTTGCATTGATTATTCCTTGACAGAAATTGGAATACCTGATCTGGGACCCGAACTGCAAAAGCTTGCCACACGCAGGGTGGGGGGGATCCCATCTCGTTCTGGCCTCGGTGGCTCCAGCCGGGTACCCAGTAGCTCCCTTTCCTTTAAGAGTAGAGCTACTCCAACTCTCTCATTGCACGGCTAATCAAAAGTGGTGGATGCACTAAAAACTGGCCGGCAGGACTTCACACCTGACTGCTAAGCAAATGACTTCAGTGGCAAGTCTTTCACTAAAGAGATTTTGCTAATAGACACTCTGTAAGCTTCACTCGTGCACACAAAACCATTTTTAAGCTTAGCTACAGCTACAGAGAAAAAAAACTATCACATGGGAAATTTTCTTACCTTCCGACCATTTGCTATCCCTTACACAATATCATAAATTGTTCTTTTGTAATATGCATCCCTTAAAAAGAAAGCACTCTAGCAGATGTCACATAATGTGTTCTGCTGAATGTCCACTTGGGATATAATTTTAGAGACCCCAGACAAGAAACACACAGTTCCAAACTATTTCCTTCCCTAGACTATTGCTGGCATCTGAAAATTTCATAGTTATTTTGTATCAAAAACACAGGAAATAATCATAGTTACAATAATAATACTTACCATTCCCTGACTACCATAGGCCAAGTTCTTTAACCATATGAACTCTAAGGCATTCAACAAAGAGAATGGTATTAGTAACTCAGTTTGCTATTCAGAAGCCTGAGAGTCAGAGGGATCGAACAGCTAACATAAGGTCATAGAGAAAGCAAAGGCTATGAAACCCACGTTTTTCTCATATAGCACACCCAATCCATGTGGCTATTACTCGAAGGATCAACTCACCACGCACCAAGCCACAGACCCTGACAGACACAGCAGAAAATATCCAAGAGATCGATCAATTCTTTCTGAAATGACACTTCACAATTTCTGACGGGTCCTCTCTTGTGGAATTTGCATGAAGCTCAAAATGACACCAGCGTATGAACTCTGCTCAGATTCACTAACAAGTCTAGATTTGGTGTTACAGAAAGGGTTTGAAGCCAGCTCGGAGTGCCTGGTGGAAGGAAGCCTCATCCCATTGCTGGAAAGAAGTGCAGAAGGGGAGGTGCCCGGCTGCTGAACCCAAACGTTGCCAACATCAGTTAAATCTAGGCTTGAGTCATGGCTGAGACAGTACAAAACCTGAGCTTTTCCCCGAATACACCCAAATCTGTGAGGTTTTATTCTACTCAGAAATGATAGCACATGAACAAAGATGAAATTAATTCACAGAATTTCTTTAGAGCAACGATATCATATGATCTAGAAGTGAAATTGGAAAATACCATGAAAACATGATAAAGCATTTCATAGCTTCTACTTGGGCTTTAGGAATCAATGCTGTAGATGGGTAAACGGGTAAATAAAATGCCCACTTACCTGATGCAACCACCCGGATCACCTTTTCCCAATGGCCATATGGGAAAGTATGAAGTAAACAGGAGTAGTAGCCAACATCAGCCTCAGAGACATTATGGAAGGTCAGGGTCATATCATTAGGAGCCATGGTAGAATTTAAGAAGTAAACCCTATCAGCATAGGGTGTCCTTATAATCACACCATAGGCAGGGCTGAATATGGCTATGGACTCTCTGTCCGTGGTATTGATCTTGAACCACTCCATCTGGGTTAAGGTGTCCAGTGATGAGTACACGCATTCTAGACTCATATTCTCAGCCAGTTTAACAGTCGTGTCCCAGAACATCTCTTCACATAGAGCTGAAACACACAACATCACATTTATTCAGTTAGGCTTGATGATTAAAACACCAAATAGATCCCTAAAGCTTATTCTAAGCTTTCTAAGACCTAGCAAGATAGCAAATGGCTAACAGTTTCTAAAGGCTAACAGTTTCTAACTTAGTCTAAAAAGGTTTCCACCACTGATAAGAGGTATTTGTAACTTGTAGGTTTCCTGAACCAAGTGAGAAATTATCTGAGCCGAATAAAGAGCATTATAAATTCTAAACATGTCATGCTAATAAGACTAAAAAAGAAGTAAATTTTTTAAATGAAGACATTATCTTTACCTCTGTATATGTGAACAATAGCCAAGAAGAAAGCAAGATAATCCATCTCTGGAAACCGTTTGGGAGACTGGTCTATTAAAAAAAAAAGACAATTTTTATAATGTTACATGCAGAGGCCCAGCACGATACACTGCTTCCTTCCTCTCAGATATTATCACTAGTGTCTTCTTTTTCTGAAGTGTAACACAGGAAAAAGGTCTTAGCTTCAAAGTCAGGTTTGCTCTCGCACAAGGGATGAGCAGATTTGAATCACTTCTCTCTCGGGGAAATAGCTTATTTTCAAGCTTTTAATTTCTACAAAGATTCATTCATTGAACAAATCAGAGAGTGGCTGAGGGCTTTCTCTTTGCCAAACTCTGCTCTAGGCAATAAGGATACAACAGTAAATTAAAAAAAAAAAAAAAAAAAAAAAAAAAAAAAAAAAAAAAAAAAAAAGTCCTTGCCATCATGGAACTTACATTCTAGTGGGAGGAGACAGAAACTGAAATAAAAAAGTAGAATATGTAAGTTATAGGTGGCGAGTGCATGAGGGAAAACAAAGCAGGAAAGTGGGGATAAGGCAAGGCGAGTGGGAGTGTTACCCTTTTAGACAGGAAGGCCCAGGAAGTCTTTACTGAGAACTTGACATTGGAGCAGAGACTGAGGGCAGGGGGAGGGGCCTCGGGCTCCAGAGGCTAGAAGGCTCCACCTGTGTGGACTGCTGCTGGGTTTGGCCTTCCCTTCACTTCTACCTCTTCTTTGACCTCGGGCATTTGCTTTGGAGGTGACGAAGGGACCACGGAAGGCCCTAAAGATACAAAAGTATCGTGGCTCAGGAGAGACACAAATCTACCACTGTGGGTGTTTTTTTTAACTTTTTATTTTCAAATCGTTATAGAGTCACAGTAATTTGCAAAGATAGTACAGAGAGGATGCAGGTAGGCTTGACTTGGGGATCCAAGTTTTCCCCAAGGGTTACATCTTATAGAATTCTGTACAATATCAAAATGTGATTGAGTTTTTAAGTTCATCATTGTTCCCTTCCCTTTCATGTAAAATATCAGTTTGGTTTCTTAAGAACTTGTTAGGAACCTATCACCATGTCAGTATCAAAAAAAAAAAAAATGCATTATTGCCTCTATAATGAGAGGAATTATATGAATGCATTTGGCCCCTGATGAGGGTCAAAATAGAAGGTGGGTAAGAATTGGCAAGAAGGGGGAGCATGAATCACTAAAGACCATGTTGCCTAAGGTCAACTCTGAACCTCTGGATTCAGTCCCAAAGTCTATCAGTAGGTGTCCACTGCTCAGCATGAGTATCTCACGTGGGAACTTTTTCAAGAAGCAAGAAATCAGCAGCACAAAACTCTGCTGAATACATATAGTACTGTGTACTGCCACCTTATATTTACATAGCGTTCTATTTCCCAAAACCTTTCACATCTACGGTATTATTTGCACCCATAACAGCTGTGTGATGAAGTCAGATGAGGTATCTCTGTTTTGCAAGTAATTAAAAAAAAGAGAAACCAATCTGTCCAAAATATTAGTGAGCTGTGACAGGTACCCTGCTTAGACCCTGGAAATGCAAGTATGAGAAAGACTTAGTGTCTGCCCTCAAGTCACACAGTAATATATTGGCTCAGACAGATTGCAGAGGTAGTCTATTATAATAAAACCTGATAATTCTATAGAAGTCAAATTTGAACAAGTTTTATGACAGCCCAGAGAGGGAACAATTCATTCTAATAGATTCAGAAAGGTTTCATAGGAAAAAAAAAAAAAAAAAAGCACCAGTTCTGGGCTTTCCAACCTCACACTTTACAAGTAGAGAAAGAGGAGAAGGAGATAAAGGTGTGACAACATAGGACATTTTCAGGAAATGGTGTGACTGTGGTCTAGGGGGTGGGAAAGGGACAAAAACTATGTCAGGTCTAGATTGAACGTATCTTGGACACCCAGGGAGGAGGCCATCAGAAGCCATGGCATCCAGCTTACATCTGTAACTCCAGCACCAAGCACAGTCCCTGGGACGCATGTCTAAGGCATAAATAATCACAACTCTGACAGCAACACAGAGTCACTAAATATCTCGTAGAGGGAAGTGATGTGGACAGTTTTGCATTTTTGAAAGATAGCCCGGATGCCTGTGGAGAATGGATTGAGATGGCAAGAGCATTGAGGATTTATATCTGAGTCAAGAAAATTAATTCCATCTATCAAATATTAATTACAGAACTTCCTCTTGATAGGTACTGACAGAAAATAAAGCTATAAAACCTAAGTTAGACCCAGTCCCGAGAATTCCCGAAGCCCTCAAGAAAGTGTCCTCCTAACTGCTCCCCTCTTGCACCCACCAAGTGCTGCCACAGACCTGTGTCCCTTCACACACACACACACAGTACCTAGAATGATCTCGCGACAGACACTGCATGGTCTATCCCGTTCAAAATACTTAGTATCTCTTACTATTAATAACGTGAAAAGACAACCTAAAGAATGGGAAAAAAATTCTGCAAATCATACTTCTGATGAGGGTCTAGGATCCAGAATATATAAAAGACTCTTACAACTCAACAACAAAAAGACAAAGAACCCAACTTAAGAACAGGCAAAAACTTGAATACACATTTCTCCAAAGAGGATACAGAAGCGGACGACAAACACATGAAAAGATGCTCAGCGTCACAAATCATTAGAAAAATGCAGATGAAAACCGCAGAGATACCACATTCCACCCACTAGGATGGTTATAATCAAAACTAAGGAAAATAATAGTGTCGACAAGGATGTAGAGCTGTGAGTTCCCTGTGCACAGCTGGTAGGCATGTAAAATGGCGCAGCTGCCGTGGAAAACAGTTTGGCTGTTCCTCAAAAAGTTAAAACACAATAACCGTACAACCCAGCAATTTCACGCCTGGGTTTATGCCCCCCAAAAAACAGAAAACAAGTACTCAAATACTTGTACACCAAACTTCATAGCAACTCTATTCACAAAAGCCGGAAAGTGGAAACGACCCAAATGTCCCTCAACAGAAGAATGGATAAGCTAATTGTGGTATATCCACACAATGGAATATTACCCAGTCATGAAAAGGAATGAAATACTGACTCCTGTTGTGACATGAATGAACCTTGAGAACATCATGCTAAGTGAAAGAAGGCAGATACAAAGAGGCTCAAATTATAAGATTACATTTATATAAAATACCCAGAATAGGTAGATTTGTAAAGAAAGAAACCAGATTGATGATTGTCTGGGGCTTAAAAGAGAGGAAATGGGGAGTGACAGCGTAAGGTATGGGGTTTTCTTCAGGGATGATAAAAATGTGTTAGAACTTGATAAAGACTGTATTTGCAGCACATGGTGAATGTACTAAATGCCACTCAATTGTGCCCTTAAATTTTATGTTGTACGGATTTCACTTCAATAAGAACAGCAAGAATCCAGATTCACCTCAGGTCTTTGCAGTTACAGAAACCACCACATTTTGCTGTTGGCCTTGCATTCATTGATATCACGTGGCCCCTCAACCACCCTGGGCCACAAACGCACACTGAGCCTCACGGGACATGCTGAGAATAGAGCCCTGTCGCACACCTGTGCCACAACTTTCCAACAGGTGGAAATAGATGATACAGAATGCAGTCCAGTTGTCAGATACGTGATTTATGATGTAAGGAATCACTAAGTGCTTATTAACCAAATGTCAAAACATTATTTGTATTAATGCTATCTAGATACATATACACATACATACATGGTGTGTGTGTGGTCAGGATTGGGTAAGGTTAGTACAGGAGCAGGTAGAGAGATAAGAGGGACAAAGGGACACAGCAGATGTGTGCAACAACCTACTGACCAGGGATCCTACGAGACATTAGATGTAACATAGCATCATCCACCCTCACGGGCTCCTACAACCCTCAGTGAATTCCACCCCCACCCACCCCCTGCGCCCCGGCAGCAAAGAATCAGGGCTTTGGGAGCATTAGGAGAAAAGGGGGATGAACTGACAATAGCCTGCAGTAACCCCTTCGTTCCCAAGGCGTCCAAAGCCAACTTGGTCAAGAGGCGGAGAGAGCGGACGGGCGCTTGCACTCTGAGGTGACTAAAGTCGGGGGGCCCAGAGGCTACGGATCCGAATGAAAGGCGCAGAAAGACCTGTGGCCGAGTTCGGCCGTTACAAGCTGGCTAAGGACGAGCCCTATTCATCAGCATCTAACCAAAGACAAATAGAGACTGTGCTTGAGCTATTTTTGTGGTGTAGCGAGCCATTTTTTGCATGATTTATGAAGGAATTTTGGCTTGAGGTTTTCTTTCTAATAGAGCTGTTCTGTATAAAAGAGCTTCATCCTCAAGGAAGTCATTAATCAAAATATTACCAGATTCCTCCCCTGTCGCACATGTCCCAGCTAACCACATAAGTGTGAGTTCATCTCACAAGTCCGCCTTCCACTGCATGCTCCTGGGTGACCCGGGCGGGGTGACCACCTTCAGATAATGTGGTTTCCTTCTCTCAGGCTGTCGACACGGGCAGATGCTTCTCTGTCTCCGCAGCCTCGTTGCTTCCGCCATCTGCAGTATGTTCTGCTTTCGCCAACGTCTGTGCCTTTTCTGATCGTTGGGAGGATTCTAGTCTCTCCTCAACTCCCCACGCAGGTAACCCACCCCATCTCCTGCAGGAACACCTGACGTGGGTGGCGGGGAAGCCGCTCCCCTCTGCTGTCATTCCACACTTGCTTGGACACCTACTGACAATGCTGGAGAGCAAGGGGTCTGCCCAACACAAAGCCTGTGCCCGACTTTGAGAAGAAGGGACTGAGGCTCAGAAGAGTTTTTGAGCATGTGGGGTCCTTTGTTCCCTCCCTTTTGTTCCCAGATGTGAGGTTTGTGCGTCTCTGGCTGAGATGTTGGGATGTTCTTGTTGTCGGGAGGCCCAGAGTGCCGACAAGATTTCGACAGGAGTGTTATAGTCTAGGGCTCCGCTCCCTGCCTCAAAGCGTCTCCGTAAGAGAATCTTTCCAACAAGGGACACATGGCTTCCTCAGCCCACCATGCCCTTAGGACTTCGGCAAGTCACAGAGCCGCCCCAGGAGTTAGTCACTGTCGAGGGACTGTCTGTTAAGGACTCACTTCCATTCAAAGCAGAGACCTCAGGTTGCCTTCAGTAGAGACCCTCCAGGGCAGGGTTCTGCCGACTATGGCTCAGGGGCTGAGTCCAGCCTACTGTCTGACCTTTATCAATAGTCTGGTTGGACTTGGCCTTGCTCACTTGCTTACACATCGTCCATGGCCGTTTTTGTGCTCTGATGAGTAGCTGCAAAGAGACCACGTGGCCTACAAAGCTGAAAATAGTAACTATGTGACCCTTGACGGAACAAGTTCACCAACCCCTACCGAGGGTAATAAATACTTAGAGAGCAGCATTGATTGCTTAAGTTCATCCTTGCTTAGTCTTGCTTGAAGGAAGGAAGGTTAAGCCCAATGGTGCAGACATTGGTAAAAGGAGCTCAATTTGCTGATTCTCAAGAACCATGCTATCAGAACCTACTCCAAATACAATTCTTCTAGAAACACACTGAGAGAAAGGACCTCAATGACACCCTCGTCCTGCACTGTGCCCATCATTGAATTTACAGGTTCATGGAGCATCAGCCATCCAGCCAATTACAGCTTTTTCCGTAGCTCCTTTCCTGCCGAAGCTACTTACATCATGTCACCCACGGCCTCCCTTCCGCTGCACAAGATTAACCTTGAAAGTGTGAACTCGGCCACAGCGACTCTTGTTTCTAGGAGGTTACTTACCTTGAGATGGGAGTTCTGCTCGCTCTAACTGTCCTTTCCCGATGTGTCTCTGGTTAAGGGCTTCCTGTTCGTCGTGCCCTCCTTGCCTCGCCCCTGCTCTCCACTGGCAGTCTGCTGCTCTCCTCGCGTGGTGGGCACTGGAGAAACAGCTGGGGCTCTGTCCCTGGGCCCAGAGCTCTTGGTCTCTTCTCTCCGCCAAAGCTCCTTCAGGTGCGGCTGAAGCAAAGCATTAATTATCTCACCAAGCAGTGCTTTTTGAAGGATTAAAACTAGCCAAGAAGTGCACCTGCTTCCAGAAGCATCTTTACCATTGCAGCTCCTCAGGTTGACTCCACACTTGGGTGGAGTTCTGTCCTTCTCCTCCCCACCCCCCTAAAATTCTACCGTGGGGAACGATGTGTTTCTCATCCTCTGTTCTAACCTGAAACTACACACGAAAACTTTCAGTTAATTACTTTGCCTTTTCTTCCCCATTTGTTTTCCTGCCAATCAAAGCACTTCATATTCAGAAGCCTCTGAAGTGCAGGAGGCTTCTTATCGCTGCCCCTATCTAGGTGTGTTTCCATCCTACCTTCTAGATATACTCTTTTTGGTTTTGTGTTTGAATCTCCCACTCTGACACAGAAACCGCACAAGTTGGCATTTGCTAACAACTCTTCCTGCAAGTTTAACAGCTTCTCTGTCTTCAAAATGCAGTTGGTTCTAAGTTGTTCCAGAGGGAAACGGGGTGAGTTTTATTTGCTCTTCTGATTTGCTAAGTGATGGAGATTTCCTGTTGGTTAAACCACCACGAGGGACTGTGGTTGGACTGGAGTTCGTGTAATTCCCAGAAATACTGGGCAGGGAGGCTGGCGTCTGCGGAGGAAAAGGCACTCCTGGGGGCCAGCCAGCCCCGCACGTCTCCCTGTGCATCACACATGCAGGGCTGGCCTCTTCTGTGGACCACACGCGTGTCTGAAAGCATGGAAGAAGAAAATACAGCTGCCTGTCATTGCACAAATGATTTTTGAGCGTGTACTGTGGGACAGACGGATCCCTCTAAAACACCCGACTCGTGTCACTCTCTTGGATATCTCACCATCCTCAAAAGAATATCCAAACTTCTTACTGACTTACCAGGCTGGATAAGATTGATCTCTATCATCTTTCCAACCTCATGTCTTACACTTCACTCACCCCCATCCTCCACTCCAGACCCACCTAGTATCGTACATTTTGGGGAACACCTTCTGACAGGGCAGGGGCTTTGCACATGGGGTACCTTTGCTTTGACTTCGCTTACCCCCTCCCACAGGGAGGCCTCAGATCAGACATCCCTTACGGGGTTGCCCATGCCGGGGTAAGTCTTCCTTCTATGAGTTCACAGATAATCCTTACTGAAGCACTCATCACATCCTTTGTAACTGTCCATTTATTTGCTGCATTTCTTCTGAGAGCCTAATAAGGCCCTTCAAGTTGAGGATGAGGTGTTGTTGAGCCTAAGCATTGAGCCTTGCATGGTGCCTGGCACATATCTGTTAGATCAATATTTGTTGAAAGCAGGTGAAGCAATTGACTCTACCTATGAAATTTCATAGTACGTGGTCTCTACACTGATCACAATCCAGAAGCCATCCTGTTTCCAGTGTGTGGTCTTTTCTTTTGCCTCATCTATTTCTCCAATTAATAAGACAAAAAGAAGCCTTGATCCAAAGGGCACAAAGATGTTCGCAGGACAAACTCAAAGATAAATGTTCCTGACTGGGGCCAACTCTTTCTCAAAATGATTCAATGGGCCCTGAACGGAACCTCAAACATATCAGCTAAAACAGTCACTGTCTATCCAAATGATTCACATCACACCGAATGTCAGAGCTCACTGCAACATTGGACGCCACTTACACGTATGGGCTTGAAAATTGGTTTCACCTACACCCAGACATATAAATCCAGATTTATATAGGCTAGGTACTTTTCCTAAATTTCTCTATCTTTTATAATTACTTCCTAATTCATCACCCACGTGCAAACATGCACACACCATCATCATCACCAGCATCATTATCACCATCATCATCCTCACTTTCACCCATATCCCATCATAAAGTTACTGCTATTATTAAGAAAGTAAAAATGGAGGCAGCTTTTCTTGTTTCTCTGTAGGGTCCATCACTTCTGGTTTCTTTATCCTTCTTGGGGCTCTTGGAATTTTGTAATATAAAGAACCTAAGAATTAGCCTTGTATCTGCTCCTGGGGTATATAGGCATCCCAGTATCTTGGCACCAGAAATGCAATATTGCCCTCCTTGACGTGAAGCTACATAATCTTACTGAGCAATTAGGGGAGATGTTAAAAGACCACATGATCAACAATGAATCCCAAAATAAGCAATAAAAACATCCTTGGACAAACGAAACTGCTTACACCTCCAGAGAACAGCTGTCCTAAGTGTTCCAACCAGGAGAACAAATGGAGGTGAAGACAGGGCAAATTTGTGGGACAGAATGAAGATTATCTACCGCTCACAGAGATGAACAAAATTCCTCCCTGCAGTGTTTTCTAGTGACCCTTATTAAGGAGCTTTCAACAGTTTAAGAGTAAAAATACTCTTTAACATTACCATTTGTTGACAGAAATAGGAAACACAGCTAAAGTCATCACATCACTGGATGGAGTATTACATTAACTACCTCCTGCCTGTCTGAGGTCACCAGGGCGCCAACTCATTATTCTAACACATGGTAAGTAAAGGGAAAAGCAAGCGTTTATCCTTCTTTTCCTGCACAAATTGCATTTCAGGGCGACCTAAGTTTCTTTTTATAGAAAAATGTCAGCTACTAAGTGGAAAAAACAATAATAGATATTATTTTTAATTGCTATTTTGTCACTCCTATTAAAATAATAGATTGCGACAATTGTTACTGGATGCTAAAGCCATTGGGTGAAAAGTTAATGGGAACTTTTTATAATAAAATATACTGCTGATTAATAATACCTGATCAACCCTAACCTCACCAAAGTGGTATAACCAGATAGATAGCAGGGGATTTGGGGATAAAGCAAGAAGAAAACAGCACCACCTGAAAAGATGTCTCACCAAAGCAACTGAACCTGAATCCAGCCCAGCCTCTAGAAGGAGCTAGCAGTGTCTAGGAAATACAGGGAAGAGAAGAATGAGTTAAAAGCACCATGAGGAAGCAAGAGATACTACAGAACAATGTCTTGGGTTCTCAATAAACAAATGGCAATTATGATTAACATAAGAAAATATAACTTAATCCAGCAAATGCCAAAAGGTGCTTGATAGCTTTAAATATCCTTTCCTGATTAAAAACAAAACAAAACAAAGCAAAACTCAGAGCAGTTTTAGAATTTAATTAGCATAATAAGGAAAACTGGTTAGAAACTAATGCCAGAGTTGATGGTAAAACCCTAGAAGCAGCTCAGTTCAATTCCTAAGTACAACAAGAGTGACCACCGTCACTGCCAATATCTAACATTGTCCTGGAAGTTCCAACTGATATTATAGGTTGAAAAAAAAGAATAAGAATTGTAAATACTGAGGAATTATTTTGACTTTATTATTACTTGTAGATGGTCAACCTAGAGAATACAAAATAATCAAATAAAAACTGATAAAACAATAAATAAAGGGTCTAGCAAAATCGTTTTATAAGACTCAACAGCTTTATTTTGTCTAGCAAAAAGTACACATATATGTACATATATGTGTATGTATACACACATGTATACATATACATGTATATGTACATATGTATATGTACATATATATATATATATATATATGTGCCTCAAGAACACGTAGCAATTATACAAAATCTATATATCATATCTAATGAAGTGACATAAGTCTTGAATAAAAGATAATATATTATGTTCCTGTATAACGAGATCCAATTTGGGGAAAACACATTGAAAAAACAATGTTAATTAACCTGAAGTTTTCTAATCTCTTCCATCTCTGAGTAGGTCAGTCTGTGAAAGACTTCATGAGGTTCTTGCTGACCCCACTCTACAAGAGATTGTGGAGGCCATGGAGGCAGTGAGGTGCTTTTCCTCAGCATCTAGCATGGTCTGTGTGTATGAGTGTTCACAGAATAAAGGTGATCTTGATGAGCAAAAGCTTTAAATGCATAAGAGCAAATTGCATTTTTAGCAATAAGAAAAATGAAGCAAGGCACTTTGCATACCAGGTATTAAAATGTATGATAAAGCTTACAATGTTAAAACAAAGTGTTTTATCCTATAAGAATTGATAGTTCGAAAGCAGACCCAAAGAATGACAGATTTTCAGGGGTAGAGATTCGAATGTGACTAGACGAATGAAGAACACTGATGCCGTGAAACAGTGGCTGAATGCATGGTCCTGGCCAAATGCTGGGAAGCTAAGAAAATCTGAGAGAATTTTCCTCTTGGGGCCTTGTTGGGCCAACACCCTCCTCCACACCGCCTCTAACACCCTGTATTTCTCCAGTGGATTAATCACCTGTGGGCCGTGAGTTCATCGTGGTCTACACATTGGAAAATCTCCCCACTTTACTTCTCCAATAAGAAGACATTATTGCCATGATCGTAAATGGCAGCCACGTTAAACCATAAGAAAATGGAAAATAAGGAAAATGTGTTCACCAACATAGATTCTGGGAATTAGGGAGATGCCACTAACAAACCCAGAAACACAACACTCTGCAAGGCATCCCACTGAGCACCTCTAGCCAAAGACCCTGTCACTGGAGAGTGTTGGTACTTATTCAACTAGAACAAATGGCATGCTTGCATTTATACAAATGTTAGGAATTAAAGGTGTTGCTGACCTAAAAAATAAATACGGCTTAGTGACCTTATGTGGCCCAGATGGCCGATCTGAATGGAAACCAGGATCCCTTCAACGATTTCAAAACAAGTTTACCTCTACAGGACAGGAGGGAATCTGTTACGTTCCTGTATTTGGCCACATTACAGGAAGACTATCTGTAGAAACCACGTTGCCAGTCTAATACAATCAGGCTTGAAATAGGAAGCAGGAAATCATACATACCACAAATACAGAACTTTTTCATCTGAATTCTCTCCTGCTAAAGAGTGAGCTAGTGAAAGAAGTAATTATATCTGTGGCAGAAAGTCAGCTTGCCCAAGAAGCCAGAAGAAGCCTCATTCAGGAAGAATATCGAGAGTACTACCAAGCAAAGGAAGAGGCCCGTACATACTTATGGAAAAGAAGAAGCCTCACTCTCTTGGATGCTTCAAATAATTACAGAATATAACAGACTCTCTTCCTTAAATTGGCTTTGTCTCCTGTGAATGTTTTACCTTCTTTTCAACATTAACATCTAATTTCCTATGTCACCCAGTGTTCTAGTTGATGAGGATTGTGTAGATATTTCATGTATGTGTAAAAATGTTTTCTCATAATTAATTAAAGTTGCATTAAGTAAAGTGTAATTAGGTCAGATGGCAAAAGATTTTTCAGCAATGAACAGAGAGTGAACGGTTGCTCTGTAAGTCATGCTGTCAGCCTCTTTCTTATAAACCCGGAGTTAATTGCAGGTTAAAAAAAGAAGTACAGGTTTTCAGCATACGATAACGACGACATTTCAGCTCATCAGAGAAAGAATGGATTGTCTACCAGATGGTGTTAGAGAAACTGACTTACCAGTGGGAAAAGCTGAAGTCAGCTCCTTGTAGACTTTGGTCTTTCCCTGGGCTGCACAACCTGTATACACCCGCTTGAGAGGCCTACTGCTTGCATCTGGGTGTAGGACCTACGCTCTGCCAACTACATTTATACCCTAAGAACTCAAATTTGGAGCACCTGGGTGGCTCAGTCAGCTAACCATGGGACTCTTGATTTCTGCTCAGGTCATGATCTCACAGTTCATGGGTTCGAGCCCTATGGTTTCTTCCTACTCGTTTGGGGCTGTGCATGAAGCCTACTTGGGATTCTCCCTTTCTCTCTCTCTCTCCCTTTGTTCTTCCCCTGCTTGTGCGCATGCATCTGTGTGCACATGTGTGCGTGTGCGCATACAATTTCTCTCTCTCTCTCTCTCAAAAAATAAAAATAAAAAGAATTCCAGTCTGAAGCCTGGGGAGTTGCAACAAGAAAGCACCAGGGCTACGAGGTCCATTCTGGCCCGAGGTCTGCAGGCTCGGGGCCCCACCAATCCAGAGCCAGCTGCACACAGTGGAGCGGGTGTGCTGGTGTGCACACTAGCAGGGAACAGGGCCCCAGCCCAAGCATCTGCTGCAGGGATGGAGGTGCTCACCAGGTCTGGTGGGTGGCCCTGGAGGAAGTGTGGTAAGCCCAGGGGCGCTCAGCAAGCTTCTCCCCCGCCCCATTCATTCTGCAGCCTGCTCTGAGTCCTCTACCCTTTCAGTAAGTTGCTTCCTTCTCAACTTAGAAGGAAGTCCTTGGGGAACTTACAACTAAGTTCTTACAACTAAGAACCCTGATCAATTTGCTCACCTGTTACAGCAGAATACATTTCAAATCTATTAATAATTTGAATAAGAAAATTATTCTAGGGGTGCCTGGGTGGGTCAGTCAGGTGACTGACTCTTGATTTCAGTCATGATCTCATGGTTCCTGAGTTGAGCCCCATGTCGGTTCTGCACTGAGAGAATGGAGCCTGCTTGGGATTCTCTTTCCCACTCTCTGCACCTCTCTGGCTTGTGCACTGGCTCTCTCTCTCTCTCTCTCTCTCTCTCTCTCAAAAATAAATAAATAAATAAATAAATAAATAAATAAATAAATAAATACATACATACATACATAAATAAATAAAAGAAAAATATTCTAAAAATTAGAGGATATATTTTATAAGCCTGAGGACAGAGGTGGATTCTTGAGTTGGAATCACACACATACATATAAAATACATTAAGATACATACATATTAAGGTGTATATATCTTATACCAAAGTCAGGGAAATTTTTTCTACATAAAAATTTACAACTCCGACATGGTAAACATTATACACTAATGAGACACAACAGTAATATTTTCTAAGTGTAAAGTGCTTAAATATCAGTGACCAAGAAAAGCCCACAAATACCCGTAGAAAAACAGGCAA